GCCAACAAAGAATCAAGCATGTAGATAAAGATTTTTCAATTCAGCCCCTCATGGAAGCAATCTATTCTAACTTGTTGGATGCCAACTTGGCCCTCGACTTAGTGCAGCTGGACATATCAGCCTTTGGTTTTGGTAAGTTCCCTTTTAGTCTCTATCGCTCGAAGGCCTTCTCTTTTAGTGAAAAGGAACGAGCCTTCTCTTTTAGTGAAAAGGAAATTTGCTAATTACGCCATAAATACTTACAATACACTTGGGATACATGGCCTACTTACGAATTAATTATATTTGAAACACTGTTTGACAACAATTATTTCCAGTCTCCTTTTTCTACATGCTCATTTTCAACCTCACATTCACATAATAAAATAATCTGCACGTAAAATCGAAACTTTTCTGTGCTTTTTAATCACACATTCTCCTAAAAATCACTATTCAAAAATCTATTTTCCCCAAATAATGGTTGTCAAATAGGGGCTTAGAATCTCGATTAGACACTCTCTTTATAATACTCAATCTTGCCCTTGCTCAAAATTCATTACAAAACAATATTATTAAGAAAGAAAAGAAGCAAAATGATTGTGCATTACAGTGTCGCCAAACTGGTCATTAAAGTAAGAGTCCTCAATCCGTTAACTATTACCTGTCCAGTTTTGCCATTTCGTGTACTGACATTTTTTTTACTATGAGAAGAGGGGAAGCCGATCAGTTTCATAATAATAGTGAGCCATATTTTGGTTACATTCTAGTTTTGTGTTCAATAACTAGTGCAAACAGATTAAACTAATGAATAGCATCAAAACAACCCCACCAAGTCCTTTCTCTTGCATCTATAAAGAAGAAAATTAAGAAGCCCTGGAGGGGCGCTTACTTTTCTTTCTTCTTCTAAACAATAAAGGTTCCATAATGCACCATTAATACATAACTAGGCTGTTTCCCATCAGAAATCTAGCAAAGAACTCACAGATATCATAGTCTGCTTGTATGCTATACACCCCTGCGAAACTCTAATTTCTTAGTATTTTCGAGCAATATCTGTCAACAAAACAACACATTTTAGAAACCTTTGGAAAGATGAAAGACGAAAATGGAGCATTGATGCTAGAAAAACACAGATAGAAACAGTGGAGCAGATCAAGTTGAAAGCTCTTACTTCTCGAATGTAATTTGCCACTGCTTTGCAACCTTCTATTGCTAGTTGCATGACATTTTCAAAAATATCGATTGGTAATTTAGCATCCATCTACAAGGAGGGAAAAAAATTAATGTTTGAACCAAAAAATAAATATACTCATGTACACAATTGGACAATTTTGGTAACAAGAAGAATAACGTTCTCGCAGCTCTCTTGGCATCAGATAGAAGTAAAACAAAACTGAGAAAATATATTCTATTCAGTCTGTCATTCAACAACTCGTGGTGGTATAAACAGAATTTTAAATGTTAGATGGTGGAAAAACTAAAGAATGATCAGTAAGAACCTGAAGTAGAGTCACTTTGTCCAACTTGGGCAGAATTCCCACAGTGACATCAGGACCTCCAGCACTGTCTTCGACATAGTTTAAATCTGTTTAAAATTTAAAGTGTGTTAATTGATATAGTATGCTATGATTGGATCATAAGGAATGAGACCATGTACAAATTATGTCTATGAGATGTTTGGCTAAGCTTGAAAAAAGCAAAAGTACCTTTATATAAAGCAAATTTTGAACTGAAAAGTCAGAAAAAAAGTAACTTCTGAACAGGCTCAAACATGTTTGGCAAAAATTTTATACTCAAAACTAACTTTTAAGCTTAGCCAAGCATGCTCAAGAAGTTAAATAAAGGAGGCTGGGTATTTACCAAGCAGGGGAATGTTATTAAGGTATCCAGCGCTGCAAGAGGTAACAAGATCCCGCATAGGTATCCCAGCATCAGCCAGGGCCAAGGTTGCCGCATTTATGCATGCTGATCTTGTCCCTGGAGAACATTAAAAATTAGACAGTACAGGGAAGTGCATAAAACAAGAGAAGTATGCTAAATAGTTCGTGCTGAATCGAAGGATCAATAATGGATCCTAGGTTACCTCCATCTGCTTGGAGAACTTGGACGAATATATCTATCTGCAAAACATAGAGAACATGGATTTAAAAAATAAAAAGAGGCAAAAATTCGCCCTGCATTATGTTGGAGTAAAACCTGAGAACGAGGCATGAGGTGTGTCAATATGCAAGCTTCCATTGTTTGGCGAATAACCAAAGATATCTCTGTGGATCTCCTGCATGTCACATAAAAATTGTTCAGAAAAATTTAAATGCATTTAGATGTATATTGACACCATAAGTCCTTTCAGTCCCACAGAAAAATGCATTTTCCTGAAAAGGATTTATTCATAAGGTCATCTATAGATACAAAACAATCATGAAGCTAAAACAACTGCAAAACGAAGAAAGATAATCCTAGGATCCAAGAGAGCTTCTAGAGCATCCAAGAAAACTTGGGCTTAAGATATAATGATCCCATCCCAGTATCTAGTATCATCTCAAAACACTCAAACTGAGTTTTGTAGTTCAAACATAAGATTTTGTTGTGGAATGTAACTTCAGTGGCTTATAAGTCATAAGCATGAAATAAGCCACAAACACGGTCTTCCATTGGAAAGGGAGAGCCTTGAATTATTGAATATATCCATTCTCGTCTGACTACTTGCAGCATTGTCAAATAAATAGAAGACCAAGTAATGCAAATCTTTCACCGCGAGAGATGCCAAGATTTAACCCCTTTCAGACAAGTGGGATAATTCATGCAATCAGCTTCTTGGCCTTATAAAAAATCCAGTGCCAGCATCAGCTAGATGATATACAAATAGTCACCCAACTTATTATCGAGGACTCCTTTTGGGTTTCGGAACTTGGACCTCAGTCCCGCTTATATTACATACTTTATTCAAGAAAATAATTTATTTAATTAGACGTCTTCAGCAGTAAGGTGAAAAGATAAGTAAATGAAAACACTATAATGAGCTTGTCTGAGCACAATAACTTTTACGGTAGATTTTTGTAGTCGGTCTTCATACAAAATTGACTATTCATATGTATAATTTTTATCCTCTCTAACAATTCAAGCATATCTTTTATAATTTAAGGCTGCATCTTGCAAACCAAAAAGACACGACCATAGATCAATCAAAATTGGGTAAACTAGCACAACAAATTCAGAAATGTAAAATTGGCCTAATCATGCTCCAAGCATGTAGCTACAGACTTCTCCAAATGTTACACGAGACTTGTACTGTTATAAGTGAGTTACCTGTCACCCTTTGGTTTTCTCATGCGATCTCCAGTACTGAAATTAGCCATGCTATACTCACACCGCACCTGTCAACATCATAAAGACATTAATTTAGAATAACGACTGAAGCAGCAAACCTAATCATAGAATTGGTTGCAGAAGGTAGTTTACCAAAGCCTGGCCATTCATTTGTTGACCCTTGTTTTGGACCTGAAAGATAGAACAATGGATTGAAAATGTCGCTGATGGATAGATAGATAAGTAGATATTCAAGTAATCTTTCCTTCTTAATTTAGCTACAAGAACCACAAAATTTTCATATACAGGAGCAACTTCTTCTCTTGTCTGTGCATTTGTGAGTTCTCTTTCTTTTTCTTCGGGTGAAATGAACATGCAAACACATGACATCAATCAGCAGATAATGTAATTAACAGATGTCAGAGTACATAGAAAGCTATCTTACTGCAAAAAGGACCTATACGTATAGTTCTATGAACATTAAGAAAATATACATATCTAGATAAAGATTGTTCTTTAGTAATTATAATTTGGTATCAGATAATTTTGGAAAAATGAGCAAAATACAAATGTTAACCCCCTTTTATTGCGCAATACTTACAGAGTAACAAAAGTGCACCATTATATTTATAGCACATCAATTTTTAAGACTAGCACATAAACCCAAAATTACGAAATACGCAATTCCGCCCCTCGACATGGCTCAAGTATGTAGATAATAATCAAGAAATGCACCATTCCAGCTAGATTCCATTACCATAGAAGTTCTACCTAACATCCTATTTCAGTTAATGTGGTAGTTGATAACACTGCAATCCAATGAAAGAGACTGCATGTCACTAGCATATGCATGGTGTAAAGCCTCTTCTAAAATATGACATCTCATTCATTATGTGCACATCAGTGATCGGTCAGCTAGAGCCTGTAAATAGTTGGTAATATGAATAAATTGATGCATCAAAACAAACTTTATACGTTTTCAATTCACTTCCACTGGCATTATGCTTTAGAATGTTTACAAAAACTTCCTACTGCAACACACTATGGAATGTCAATAACCCAGAAACTGTTCAATTAAACAATGTGAATAATGACATGGAAATACTCTAATATCAATGTTATATGAGTGATGTAGTCAGAAACTAAGCCTTGAAGCTTCTTTTTATAATTCTTTTATCTGAGGGTCACCAATAACACTTACAAAAAATGGTAAGAGTAAACTGAGAACCTTTAAGTGAGAACTTTTGAGGGAATCCAATTTATATTCACTTCTCCACAGAATGCATGATCTATTATGAAACAGCATACGAAGGGAGATACCTACCTCTCGAGGACCATAGACTGCAGCAATGACTTTGGTGTTACCCATTTCAAAAGAAGCCGAACTGCCAGCAAAATATAGGGGTCATCAAACAAAAACCATCTAAAATTGAAGCTCATTGGAGGATGTTCGGCTAAGCTTATAATAGAAGAAACCTACCTTTATTTTAAAGATTACTTATTTACTTTTAACTTTTAAGTTAACTTTTTAAGCTTAGACAGACATGCTAGTTCGTGCGAAATTTGAAGGATAAATGTAAATTACCCATCAGCTTTCGCTACTACGCCTACTTCTGCACGAAACTGCCTCATCTGATAGTGAAAAATATATACATACATCAATTACACGAGACAGTAATTTCTTGTTAAGGTAAAAACCAAAAGTTAAAACAAAAGGTTGCAAAGAAATCAAAAATTGTGTATTAGAGAACAAAGAAGAGAGATATACCTCCGTTGGGCGGCGACCGTCGAGGCGAAGGCCTTCGGGGCTCACGTACTCCATCTCCGCCACACCACAACCACGCCCACGGAGGAGAAACTATAGAGAGAGAAGAAAGAGGAAGGGCGAATGTTTAGGTCTGGGGTTTTACCTGGGTTTTACTGGATTAGCAAGTTTTGAATTACTCATTGGGTTATTAGGGAATTTATGTCATTTGTCCTTCACCTAGTACTTCTCGAGCATGTTAGTCTTAAACTTATAAAAGAGATCAAATTGATCCTTAATCTTTCATTATTTTGCAGAACCGGTACTCGATGCGGAAAATTGTTCAATTCTTTGCTGTCCTAAAAGGCTAAAACTTACCTACTTATAATCTATTATTAAAAAGTTACTTATAATTTGGGTGTGATCCAAATAAGCAACTTTTAGTCATAATCTGATCCACGGGAAGAAGAAAAGCAAAAGCCAACCAATCTGCACAGGTCAGTCCACACCACATACATCTCTCTTTCCACACTCATATATTCGCTCATATTCACATATACTTTTCCTTTTGTTCTCTTTTTCTGAAATAAGAATATTGGGCAGATCGGAGTCTTTGTGTTGATTTGTTGTGATGGCTTCGAAGCGGATCTTGAAGGAACTCAAGGATCTACAGAAAGATCCACCTACTTCTTGCAGCGCTGGTAATTTATTTTATTTGTTTGGTCTTTTTTCACGCTCTTTTGAGGGTTTAGTTTTGGTTTCATTATGTTTTTTTTGCTGTACCGAGGTTTGATCTGTTGTATTACGATGTGTGTACGTATTTAGGGGTACTTTATAGAAGCTGGGACTGCAATTAATTTGTCATTTTGACTTTGTGTATAACGCAAAAAATAAAGAAAAAACAAATAAAAATAGAAGAAGTAATTTTGATTGTAAAAAGATACATGGTAGGGGTAAAAACATGTTTAAAAAAAAATAAAAAAAAAATTGTTTTCGTGTATATTAGTGCTTGAGCTACAGATCCCCTTTTGCTTAATTATTTCGACCTTTTCTTATAATGGATGGATTACATAATCTGCTCCCCGATGCATTTGGGACGGATTTTCCCAATAAATGATAAGCATAGTTTATGATAATTTAGGCTATGATCAACAAGAGATTGATTATGTGTCATTGAGCATAGAAATTTTTTTAATTTAGATCCATCCCTGGAAGGATGTGGACGTTATAATCTTTTATCTAGCTGCTCGCTTACTACAGCTTATTAAAACTCCAATTTTTATATCCTTGACAATTTTCCTCTGAAACCTAATTTTGATAGTTGTGCCAAACTATCTTATCTGATTATTTTGATAATTAATCTTCTAATTTTCATTTCAATCTAAGATGCTCCGAGCGGGCCAATAGTCATTGATTTAGTCAGTCTTATATGGAAAACTTTGGAATCTTGAGAGCTCGTCACTTGAGTTGGAGGCTCTATGCGTTGTTAACTTGTTATCCATATAATTTATCATGAAAATTTTATGGGCTTCTGCCCCGTCGATGTAACAAAGATTTTCACTAGAATATATATTTAGTTTTCCTCTTACACTGCCAAATCATGCTTGATGGTCTTGAACTATGAAGAGGCTTTGTCTATAACTTCCTGACACTGGTTATAAACAAAATGAAGTGCCCATGTGTATGTTAGTTTTGGTATATACCTCGCATTTCTATCTTGTATGCTTTCAATACCAACTATAGATATCTTTAGCTGATCGCTACTGCATTCCTTTCTTGTATTTTTTGATAGGACCCGTTGGTGAGGACATGTTTCACTGGCAAGCAACGATTATGGGTCCTCAAGATAGTCCATATGCTGGGGGAGTATTTCTAGTCACTATTCATTTTCCTCCTGATTATCCATTTAAACCTCCCAAGGTATATGAATTTGTTTTGCAATTTTTATGTTGGGAAAGGAGAATAGTTCCTATACGCCTTTTTAGTTTTACTACTGTTTTTCTAGATGGAATTGTTATTGCGCTTTTCCATTTTGGTCAAAGTTTGTTGAAATTCTGCTCTATTAGTGATCACCTTTTTTTTAGTACGATTGCTTGAAAAGTGTAGTGTAAGGGGAGCACATGCATATTCCCGTTCATTTTGTCATTGCAATTATTAATATTTCACTCATTAATCTTCCTCATTTTGGACAAACATATTCCATAATATTATTCTGGTTGTATCTTTGCAGGTCGCATTCAGGACAAAAGTTTTTCACCCGAATATAAACAGCAATGGTAGTATATGTCTTGATATTCTAAAGGAGCAATGGAGTCCTGCCTTGACAATTTCCAAGGTTATACTTTTTTTTTTTTGTGGTAAATTTGGAGGTTTCTTGTTATTTATTTGAGACTTGATGAGTCATGCTCGAGTTTCCATCTTCTTTGTCCACATGAGGTTCTTCTCCGAAAATTTAGAACGCCATGTACCTGATATACTTAGATGCGTAAAGCCGTAAACCTTTGTGTCAAGAAAATTTTGTTGTTTTGTTGTTCGGTGGTTTCTGCCAATTCAGGCAGAGTTCTTTTTTAACACAGTTGCCCTTGTTTTTCCCTTTTCTACTATTTTAAGTGCATATTTGACTAAAAAAACTTATAAGTAAATAAGTTCTTTCTAGAATAAATACTTATCATGTTGGTTTATTTAGTTATAACTTACAAGTTGCTTTGCTGAATGTAACTTCAACGTTAGTGTCAAAGTGAGTAATTTCTTTTACTTATAAGATGGGAATACTATCTCGACAAGTTTGGAAACAAAAAGTATCTTAAAAAAAATGTTAAGTGACTCTTAAGCTGATTTAAACATGCTGGAAGTTGTTAACAGTTGCATTCCACGTTAATAGCTGCTGCATGATTTCCCACATATATATAGTCCCTAGTTGCTGATTGAAGTGCTAAGACCTGATTTAATGCTGTCATCCGAAGATATCTTTAATACCTTTTTAATCCCTTGTGAAATCAGATATTGCTCTTCTTAATGCGTGCACATTACTAGTTTTCGCCATTGCTTATCATTTTGCAAGGATGGAAGGGTTAAACGAGGTGCAATAAATCAGTCTTATACAAAGTGTAAAAACCCTGAACAAGGGAAAGACTAAACTATTTTTAATTAATAAAAGAAAAAGAAACTAAATACGATAGTATCTATAACC